AGGGACCCTGGCTTATAGAGTGGAATGGGGACAGGAGACATTTGACTTACAGATCCCATGAGAGGCTGTGGCAGCCTTACTGAATTAAAAAAAAAAATCTGATGAAATCAAAATTTTCCACGGGGGGGAGGGGACCCCACTGTGATAAACTCTAGTCATAAACCATGGATACAAGTGACTTACTGAGCTGCTGAAATCTATAATAATTGATTAAAGCATCTACCAATCATTTATCAGACCTTTCAAGAATGCCCCATTAGTATATAAATGCAACTCTAAAATACGTTATTTGAATCACAGATAAAGGCATTTCTTTTCCCTTTCAATGCTTTGATCCATGTTGTTTTGAACTAAAGCAAGTTCAGTTTTGTTCTGTTATAAATACCTATCAGGGAATAAACCCTAGCGTGGCAGGTGGATGGAGTAGAGGTCACCTAATAGTTATTTTTCTCTCTCATCGCAGATTTTATAATTTCCTAAACAAACAAGCAGGGAAACCTTTCCCAAGCTCACATTTTGTTCCCAAACAGAGCAGCTATTCACCTCTCTCTGTGGCCGGATCTCAGAGTAGTTATGTGTAAATTGCCAGTGCTGCTCAAGATGCTTTTGGGAGGCGCCACCAGCAGGAAATGGGGAGCCCTGATTCATCTCAACTCAGCAGGGTTTCCAAAGAACCGTAACAGAGAATCTGAAAACCAAAGTGATGGCTCCTCATACTGATCATGGGTGAGTGTTTGCTCGGTTGCAAGATGAACAGGTCTCTCTCATTAATTTTTCCCTATTGTGGTGGTGCCAAAAGCCTCCAAATTGAGGTTGGGGTTAGTACTGGATAGTCCCTGTCTCAGACGGAATAAACAAAGCAGATGAAGAATGGATTATTAAACCCATTTTACAGATAAGAGAAATGAGGCCCATAGGGATTAACTGGCATGCCCAGGTCACCCAGAGACTCTGTGCCACAGCTCAGAGCTTGTTCTCCTGAGTCCCCAACCAACGACTTTACCATTGGACCATCTGTTCTCTTTTTATATCCTCACAGAGCTTCCTATACAAACCACTGCTAGCCAGCGGTACAACCAGCAGCAAACTGTTCATTGGTAAGAGGCACATGCCAATTAAGGGTGAGTGGATTGGATTGGCTCAAAGAAGAAGCTCTTGCTCCCCCTCCAACCAACCCCTCTTCTGAACTTGTTCCCTCCCTGTTCAGCAGCCTCTGAACTTCTGAGATCCGGAGCTGGACGCCAGGAGACCTAGGAGAGAGACGGCTCTGATGGGACTTCTGATCCAGAGGGGAAGTACCCACCTCAACACAAGAGCCACCTGCTTGAGATATTCCCCAACCTGGTGTCAGTCAAGGAGGGGTTCATTCAGATGGGCACAGACCTGAAACCAACCTTCTCAGTATTGCCCGCCCCTGTTACATGAGCACTAATTGAGGCCGGCTTAATGCCACATTGTCTGGGGCACGGAGGAGCCAGCCTGGCAAATAGCTTAAGATGACAATGCAAAAGATGCAATGCAAAAGATGACAATTTTGTCAATGCAAAAAGATGACAAAAATGGGCCCTTGACTTGCGCTGTCAATTCTTTGGGGGCAGGGAACTGTTCCTGTTACATGGCACCTAGCACAGAAGTCCTGGCACTAACGACACAAAGGAACAGTGGGAACAATAAAAGCAAGCCCAGAGCTTAGTTTAGGCCCCACTGAAGGGCCCATCAGTGTGCGAAGGGGCAAAGAAGGATCAAGCCAGAAGGGGCAAAGGGTGAAAATCTAAGAACTACGGCCCTGAACATGCGGGTTCGCTAGGCTTTTGAGGCTTGTGGGGAGCACTCCTCCAGTGCCCAAAGCTTCCTAGCTGTGACAGGGAGGGGGCCCCACACAGGCCTAGCAAGAGTTGAACCCAGCCCTGGGAGAGGTCTGGGGAGGTAGGGGTGGAAAAAGCAGCTGTGGCAAGTATCAGGCAATTAGGGCCCAGCTAGGGCAGCATAAACAGGAGCCCCTGTTTATGCAAGAGAGCTCACTCTTGCTGTGGCTGCCAGGGAAGCTACAGACCCAACCTGAGACAGAACAGGGCTGGGGAGATGCAGGCAGAGCTGGGGAGCTCTGGCCAGGCAAACTCCCAGACTGCAGGGCTTGAGAGAAGGCCTGAGGGCACTAGGGCTGCAGGGAGGCAGCAGATTCACCCCTTTGCCAATGAGGAGCGGCCATTTCACACTGCAGTTTGCCTCTGAGGCAGGGGCTAGGTGAGGCCTGACAGGGGGTCGCTGAGGCAAGGTGGGTGAAGGGGGCTGGGTTCCTTGGGAGTGGAGGACCCCGGAGTGCAGGGGCATTGCTGTGGGGCAGTATGGGACACAGGGCCTGCAGGAGGCAGGTACTTGAGGGGCAAGACACCAGCCAGCAGAGGGCGCACCGAGGCTGAAGAGACAATTCCTAGAGTGACCAGCAGGAGGCGCCGTGACTGCAACTCCGACCTCGTTATATCAACACTAAGTTTCACAGGCTCTAGCAATACTGGGCCAGTCTGGGGTCAGGCTACTGAAAGGAAGGCTGCTCCAGAGGGCAGAGCACGGGAGACCGCAGTCCTGGATCTCATCCCTGGATCAACTGCTGACCTGCTGCGTGATCGGCCACATCACTTCTCCCCCTCTCTGTGCCTCGGTCTCCCCCGTTGTATTCGGGCTGCAAACTCTTTGGGGCAGGGGCTGCCTCTGGCTCTGGCTATGTGCAGCACCGCGCTCAAGCAGGCGCCGATCTTAGTCTCGAAGCGCTATCGCAATACACATCATTCAAGACCAGTTGGGAGCCTGCAGGAGCCAGGGATGCCAGACTCCACTGGAGACAAGTCCCTTCAGTTCGCCCCCCTCCCCCTCTCCATCCAGTTAATAGGCAGTCGGCTCGGCTGAGTGCTTATCAGGGTTTGACGGCTACACAATGACTCCGGCTTCCGGTCGGAGGGAGTGATCGTATCAGGGTCTGCGTGTGACACTGGCAGAATTATGTCATGTCTGGCACATGGGACGTTACGTTGAGGGGACTGACCGGAAACCGCAGGAATGGGACCCCTGCACTTTCCCCACTGGAGACCCTGCGCCCCAGTTCCTTCACTTCAGCCCCCCATGAGGGTCTCTCCAGAGCCAGACCAATGGCAAAGGCACTGAGGGGACTCTGAACAACAGAGGGGAGGTGCACAGAAAACCACAGACCGAAGGGGCCAAGCTCAGGCCTGGCACACGTGGGAGCAAAACTGCTGACATTCCAGGGGCAAGTAGGACCAGCCATCTGGAAAACCAGGTTTGGGGGACTCTAGGCTCCTATGTCGCTCAGCACCCAGATATCAGAGCCCCATCGCCCTGCCCCGGGAATCCTGTCTTGTCCTGGCCTCATGAATCCCAGCCACAGGGAGGGGAAGCCGAGAGGCCCCCGCTGACAGCAGGACTCCACGGTGCAAGGCACTGTGCATGCACAGCCCCCCCCGACGCCAAAGACCTCAAAGTCAGAACAGACGAGCCCGGGGCCGGAGAGACGAAGGACTGGTAGCCTCACCGGACAGGGGACGCCACGGCAAAGAGATGAAGTGATTTGCACAAGGCCAGGGAGCCAGTCTGTGGCACAGCCACAAGCTGGACCCAAATCTCTCGCGTCCCCTGTCGGGTGCCTTATCCACACCGCCATCCCCCCTCTCAGAGGAAGCCCGGCATTTCACCCACCTCTTCCAAGGGGAGCAACGGGCTATGGCTCTCTCAGTCTCTCCTCCTTGTCCTGAGTACCCTAGCGAGAGCCACGCTAGCTCTGGAGACCCAGCCAGAAACTTTCGCTGCTCGGCTGAGGCGTGTCTGTTTGCAGTGAGACACCAGCCCCCGGGTTATCATTAACCTTATTTTCTATTTCTAGAGTCTAATCTTCTTTTTTTTCCCCCCATACCCTTCTCCTGCCCCCAAAACGGGCAGGTTCAGCTCCAGACCTAGCTCCGGAGCCTTTCCGAGAGAGCTGCTCCGTCCTGCACCCATGCCCTGATGAGCTGCTACCTCAGCACACACCCTAGTGAGCAGCAGAATGCAGGCTGCATTCACATCCCACCTTCCCTGGAGTCTGAGGACACATTTGGCGGGAGAGGGGCGGGAAGGGAGGGTGTTAAATGCTTAGAAAAAAGAAGAGCCTGATTCCGGCAGCTCCCGCTGATTTCATGAAGAGCTACGGGGCTCAGCCCCTTGGGGGATCACGCCGTCAGATGCTGCAGAGATGGGGGCTGCAGGAAGCCCGAAGATAGATGGAGGGGTAAGTCAGGTGCTGGCAGACTAGCTGCTCCTTCTGAGCCCTGCAATCCACCACCCCAATCCCGTAATCCTCCAGTGCGCGCAATCTGGCAGCCCACAGAAAAGGTGTCGCTCAGCAGAGTTCAGTCTTTCGGCATGACATTTGCCCCGGGCACCATTTACATCCGAGGGACCTCTGTAGCTCACAGGCCTTGAGCTGTGCCCATCCCGGGTCACACGCTGGCCTCTCTGTGAAACACAGACTGCCTTCCGCCCGCCCCGAGGCACTTCCCTCCGAACGGCGAACCTGTCTGCGTCACGGCTTTACGCGGCACTGCTGCGTGATGCAACCAGAGGCGCCCCTGCCACAACCGCCGTGGAGACAGGCTCCCGAGGCCATGGGATATTGTCAGACTGGAGACGGCGCGGCCTGGGGACAAGCTCAAGGCTGTTTTCAGATGTACGGCCCAGCTAAAATCTGCAGCAAATACCCTACCCCCAGCCCAAATGACCCCACATTCCAATGCGGGCAGTCCGCCCACGTACCACCGCAGCAGACGGGCGTGGGAGGAGTGAGCACTTGTCCAGCGTGCATACGGAGCTGCCCGGCTCGGCTGGGATCCGGAGCCCAGCTCTTGTCAACGCTCCCCCCACAGCAGACCCGGCTGTGTATCGCCAGCACTCCACGCAGGGTGCTGCGGCGGAAGGAGAGGAGGCGAAGAACAGAATCGCAGGCGGGGCTTTACCTTCCAGGTGGCGGTGTTCCTCCTGAAGTAGGCAAACATCCGGGTGAACCAGTTGTAGATTTCATTCAACGTTAGCTGCCTGTCTGGGGTCTCCAGGATGGCCTGGAATTCAGAGTGAGATGGGGGAGAGGGGAAAGAGGGAGAATTACTCCAGCGCCAATCCCAAGTATTTGCGTCCCTCACCGCGCTGCAGAAGACCCCGAGGGTCTGTCTGGGACAGGATGGGACTCGTCCACAGATCTCAAAGCACACTGGTAGGGTGCCTTGCCACTCAGATGCAGAGGCAAGGGGGGGCCTGCCCGCTGTTCAGGGGTGGGCTCCTGACTACCAGTCCGGTGCTCTACCCACTGGACCAAGCTGCCAAAAAGTTACATTGTAACTCACTCCACAGAACACTCGGCTAGCCTGGCTGGCCAAAGAGGAGCCTAATGGAGTCACAGGAAGAGGTCGCCCTTCTCACCCACCTTGTCAGACCTGCGTTTCTGAAGACTCACCCCCAGAGCCAAACAGCGAACAGTCAGAGCACTTCGATTTGCATTTTTCACAATCATAATTGCATATGCTAATCAAAGGCTCACACGTTTGATCCATGGGGCTGGAGGGGTTGACGGAGGCTATCGGAACCAGAAGCCCCAGAGGCTATGCCTGGATTTACTCCAAGGCAAGAGGCACCTGTGCTCTGAACAACCTGACAGCACCCCTGGCTGGGAGGCAGCATCCCTGAATGCGCCGTCTCTCTTGGATTTTAAGCCGTGGTGATGGCAGAGGACCCTGGCCACTGGCGCTTGCCCCTTATCCACAGAGCAGATAGAGCACTGGCAAAGTCTAGCCTCCCCTCCTACACTGCATCAGGATGGATCACCACCAGGGATGAAGGCGGGATCTCCACCTTCATGGACCAGCTCTTGGACCTCTGTAATGGTCCTCGTACCAAAGGCGGCAGGCAGTGCCCAGCGGTATAAGTAAGGCAGCACCCACCCACCGGGATCCCACTTCATAGCAGGTCTTCATGCACCATCGTTGTTGGAATGAAATAAATATGAACGGGCCAGAAGTGCCTTTTACTGGAGGATCGCTGAGTCATCTGCATGCTACCGGAGCAGCACCCGTCTACCCCTCCCCCCCCAGATTGGGTCTCTAAGGAATCCACCTGCCCCGGGGAGTTGCTATCCTACTTGGCTCACGAGGGGCAGAGAAGTCACCAAGTGAGTCGGTGGCACAGCTGGACTCCGGAGTCCCGCCTCCCAGTTCTCAGCCCGAATCCCCTGCCACATGGGACACAGCTGCCTTCACAGCCCCGCCCCCGGAGCTGGAGTGGGGTTCCTCACCTGCCGGATGAGCGAGGCGTACGTGAAGGGCGGCCGGACGTCTGTGTTTTTGTAAAACTCGTGATTCTGTGCAAGCTCTGGAGGGGGAAGAGAGAGAATAGGAAGGGATCGAGCCTAGCAAGTCACGCCAGGGGCGTATCAATGGCACCAGGATTCTCCGAGGCGTGCCCTCACCCGCCCCCGGCCCCCTCTTACCTGAAGATATTGGGGGGCAGAATTTTTCAGGGTTTCTCCTGCGAATGGCCCCCATGGTCTGTAAGGTGGAGGAGCTGATGACGGATGGGCCCTGCCGCAAGGGGGTGATGGGAGCGGTGGCGGAGGTGGGGGGATGAGGTAAGCCATCTGGGAAGGTGTCTGAAGTGCTCTTGGAGAGGGTGGCACTCGAGACCAGGTTGAGCTGCACAGACAGGGCGGAAGAAATTGACAGCAGTTGGGAATGGATGCGGAGTTGGTCTTGGCTTCCATGCTGTGAGACAGGGCAGAGCACACATGGCCCTCTTACCCAGAAGGATGGTCACTACAGGGAGCGATCATGCAATGTTCCCTCTGATCTTCTCCAGGCACATGTGGATTTTTTCCCCATCCATGTGCAGAATAAAATGTACTGATGTGCACTGAAGCACATGCAAAAGTGCACCACCAACAGAAACAAACAGGTAGCTGTGAGCACTCTGGGCAGCATTAGAACCTAGTGGCTGCACATGCACCCAGCTTACAGGGAACACTGCTCTTGTTGATTCTACCAGCAGCAGGAAAACAACACATTACAGCTCCAAGCGAGCCTGGAACCCTGAGTCTCTTAACCCTGAAGCATTTTGCAAGCCGACATGCCATCTATATGCAGGGATCACTCCACTCCCTGCCAAAATGCAGTCAGCTCTGGGCAGCTGCTGACCAGGATAGGAAGCAAAGCATTATGTGCAGGAAAAGAAAAAATCCTGGTTCCCGTGGAAACAGCAGGTGGAATTCGGGAGTAACCACCCAAGCTGACACTCGGACAGGACAATGGCTATTTCAACCCGGGCACGCGGTTGGCATCCAGCCCTTGGCATTACAGCTTGGGGGCAGGCCCAGGAGGACATGGGGATGTAGAGAAAAACCATGAAGAGATGGTGAGAGCAGGTGACCGACTGAAACACCAACCTTCCAGCGAATCAACTCCTTCAGGAGGACGGAGTGATGGTCCTAGACTACAGGAAGGCCAGCATTCCCTGGAACAGCCTTAACTAGAGGAAGTCAGCACGTGGGTTTTCCATGAGCCATGTCCTACTAAAGCACTGAAGGACTAGGGGAGCAACATGGCCCAGAGCCGAGCACAGACCCCGAAGCGTATGACTTGGGAATCATCGCTACCTGGACGTCATAACCGTACATGAAACACTAAGTACGCCAAGGACCCTGCCCGACTTGGACTGCCACTGACTGGACCTGCACAGCTTGGCTCAGACCTCTGGGTGAGGCGAAGGTGACAGACACTAGGAAGGGGCTATGGAGGAGCTGGACAGGGATGAAGGGAGAGGTGGGGCGGGGGATGAGCGGCAGGTTGGTGCTTACAGGCTGACTGAAAGGCTTAGGCTCTGAAGGTCGCATGTGGAGGTGGGCCATCATGGCCTGGAGACGCTCACTTTCTTTCGCCAGCTGTGGGGCGGAGCAGAAGAGAAGAAGTTACTTGGTGCTGCTGGTAACTCCCCGGGCGCTGTAGCACCCCGCCTCCCAGGGACAGCTCATTGAAACGTGCTTCTACTGCAAGCCACCCCTCGCTTGGCCCCCGCACTGTCTGGCCAGTGTTCCCTGCACGCCGCTATGTGACAGGGCAGAGCTGTTCCACTCCGTCCCGGGACGTTGGTTCCCCTGGGTGAGAGGCTGTTGGTGTTGAGGTCTACACTCCCCATTGAAGAGCTGCCTTTTCCCCTGGGGGAGGAAGACCTGGACATGTGTCAATGGCTGCCAGAATGTCTGCCCCTGCCTCCGGCTGCACAGAAATGCAGGGGCTCTGGCCCCCTTGGTGTAAGAGAGCTGCTCCGTGGGCGGGGCCGAAAACTCTTGAGAAATGGAGTCATTCCGTGTAGCTTTAGATCTAGATCCAGCCAGCCTCCCCTCCCGCCCTTCACTCCTCCCTCTCTCCCACGCCTCAGCTCTCTGGGTTCACCCCACCGTGCTGCCCACGTGGCTGTCGCTCTCGATTCATGCCTCCCTCTAGCCGAGGACTCGATCTACTCCTCCCCACCCATCTTCTCTCTCCTGCCCACCCCTTCTGGTCCCTACCGGTGCACCTGCATTTCCCTCAGCCTCATATACTACCTGGCTGTGTCTAGACTGGCAAGTTTTTCCGCAAAAGCAGCTGCTTTTCCGGAAAAAACTTGCCAGCTGTCTACACTGGCCGCTTGAATTTCTGCAAGAACACTGACGATCTAATGTAAGAAATCAGTGCTTCTTGCGGAAATACTATGCTGCTCCCGTTTGGGCAAAAGGGCCAGACATCTCAGATTTGTTTTGCGCAAAAAAGCCCCGATTGCAAAAATGGTGATCGGGGCTTTTTTGAGCAAAAGCGCGTCTAGATTGGCCACGGATGCTTTTCCGCAAAAAGTGCTTTTGCGGAAAAGTGTCCGTGCCAATCTAGACGCTCTTTTCCGAAAATGCTTTTAACGGAAAACTTTTCCGTTAAAACCATTTGCGGAAAATCATGCCAGTCTAGATGTAGCCTCTCTGTATTCCCACATTGCTTGTTGCTCTCCCCCAGGTACCCACTCATCCACCCAGATGTGCAACATTGCTTTAATTGTGTACTCCCCCGTGTATGTTTGTTTCTCGGAGTGCGGGGAAGGGTGAAATATTCACAGTGGCACAAGGAGAGATTCTGAGCCTTGGAGAGGCAATGGGATCTGACACCATCTCTCCTCGTGTCACCTTTCCTTTCTGCCTCGGCCCCTCAAACTTTGGCTTAGCTGATGGGCCCCGCTTTCAATCCAGAGGACACCCAAAGAGGCCCCCTTCCTGCCTCCTCCGGCCGACGAGGATCCTGCGCCAGGAAAGGCCAGCGAAGCCCGGCGAGGAAGGAGTTACAAGCAGCCGCCGGAGCAGAGTTGGCTGGAAGTTTGAGCGGCTCCGACACTCTTGCGCTGTCGTGGTGCTCATTAGAGCTGACAGATCTACCCTCGTGATGCAGACACTCGCGCCGCCGACACAGCAGGAGCGCCGCACTGAAAACTTTATAATTGGTAGCTCTAGTGGCAGGTTTTCCTCTCTGCGCACAGAGCTTTCTGCTCCCCCTTCAGGTCTCCCACACCTCCTCCCTCTCTAAGTTCCCGTAATTGCTTTCCACCTCTTGCTTTAAGTGAGTGTTCGGGAACAGGATAGAATCACATGGTTTGACTCCGGTGGCTTTAGAATCTCAACTTCACTTTCCAACGGGTACTCCAGGGGAACTTTTTTCCTCCTTCCCCCCCAAGTGTCCACCCCTTTTCCCTCCCTCGTCTCCTCCCTGCCATCAGCTTCATCCTACATTGCTTTAACTCCTGCCAGAGGCTGTCATGGCTCCATTACACCCGCTGCCCTCCCGGGGGCACAACTTCCGCTGAGAGCTGGGGGAGGCTGCTCCTTTTACTCCCTCACCCCAGCACAAGTGCACACAACGTGGCTAACAAGAGCAGCCCTGGAACCAGTTGCACCTGCTCCATGGCTGGGATTCCCTAGGAAAAGGTAGGCAAGAGTCCAAGGGAGGAACTGGAAATAAAATGGCCAAGAGCATGCACACCCCTGGGCAATCAACACACAGAACACTGCAGTGCCTATGCACCTGTGCCAGGCGTTTCTGCATTCAGTACTCATGCAAGGTGTGGAGAGTTGCCTCTGTGCCGTGTGCACGTCATGAAAATAGTGCACACAGTTTTCATTGATTACGCCCTTCTCCTGCCACCCACCTCCCGCTGACACCGCCCCATCCCTTTACCCAACCTTGCCTGCGCTAGTGAGAGCCTTCTACAGCTGCCCTGTATCTCTCAACAGCCGGCCTGTATCTCTCTTGCCTGAGTGTCTATTTCTTTGCAAACCTCAGCTGAAAGCCCGAATTTCTTCTGCAGGGCTCTCTTTTGTTAACTAATTTTACAAAGCATATTTTGTGTCTGTGTCTGTGTCCCCTGTATGAAACGCACAGGATAAATCAAAGCCAAGACTTCCTAAAATAGGGGCCTGACAGTGAGCTCTGAAGTCTGCATTCGGGCACATAACACGTGGCCTGATATTTGGAAGCACTGAGCGCCCACCAGATCTAATGGCTTCAGGAGAAAGCAATTAGACAGATTGGAGGATTGGGCCAAAAGAAATCCAATGAGGTCAACAAGGACAAGAACAGAGTCCTGCACTTGGGATGGAAGAATCCCAAGCATTGTTACAGGATGGGGACTGAATGGCTAAGCAGCAGTTCTGTAGAAAAGGACCTGGGGATTACAGTGGATGAGAAGCTGGATATCAGTCAACAGTGTGCCCTTGTAGACAAGAAGGCTAATGGCATATTAGGGTGCATTAGGAGGGGCACTTCCAACAGATCTAGAGAAGTGATTATTCCCCTTTATTGGGCTCTGGTGAGGCCACATCTGGAGTACTGCATCCAGAAAGGATGTGGACACATTGGAGAGGGTCCAGCGGAGGGCAACCAAAATGATTAGGGGGCTGGAGCACATGACCTACGAGGCGAGGCTGAGGGATTTTGGGCTTATTTAGTCTACAGAAGAGTGAGAGGAGATTTGATAGCAGCCTTCAACTCCCTGAAGGGGGTTCTAAAGAGGATGAAGAGAGGCTGTTTTGAGTGGTGGCAGATGGCAGAACAAGGAGCAATGGTCTTAATTTGCAGTGGGGGAGGTCTAAGTTGGATATTAGGAAAAACCATTTCACTAGGAGGGTGGGGAAGCTCTGGGATGGGTTCCCTAAGGCAGGGGCGGAATCTCCATCCCTGGAGGTTTTTAAGTCCCAGCTTGACAAAGGCCTGGCTGGGATGATTTAATTGGGGTTGGTGCTGCTTTTAGCAGGGGGTTAGACTTGATGACCTCCTGAGGTCTCTTCCAGCCCTGGGATTCTATGATTCTAGGAGGACTGGGGTTTGGCTCTTGAGTTGGATACAGAATATTGCAAGTCCCATGGCTTGTGACCATTACCATGCATTCATGTAGACATGGAGCCATGGATGGCACTACATACACACCAATACATACACTAGGGCAGTGTCAATACCTCACGTGCCATAGAAGCACATGCACAGGACATGCGACATTTCTGGTTGAAATTTTTAGAGTAGCCTGTAGAAATTAGGTGTCCATCTTCCACTGAATTTCCACCTGAAATTCATGGCTTTCATTTCTTACATTGGCTATGCTAGCCTCTCTTTTTTGATTAAGCCTTTCAGTGTGTTTCATATGCACCTGAATGTGTAACCTGCCAAGGTTTGAGTGGTTGATTCCTCTCCCCGTTGCCAACCCACCTAGACTTGGTTTTGGGACATGGGCCCCAATCCTTAAGAGAGCTAAGGCTCCAATCTAGGAGGTGTGAGGTATGCAAATGGTGAAACATCCCATTTCCTGGCTCCCTGCAAGCCTGTGTCTCTGCTAAGAAAATGCTACGAGCACTGAAGGACCTCAAGGGAACTGACCCCACTGCAGACATAGCTGTTGCCCAGCACGTCACTCGGCTTTGTGGACCGGCTCCTTTCAAAGGTGCTGGGCCGACGGCCCGGAGACTGTTTTTTGTTGATGCCACACCAGACGCAGCAAGAGCGACAACAGGGCAGGCTGACATCAATTTCATTGCAAACATGTCACATCCTTGACCTAGAGGGCATCTTTTCCCCAGCCCTGTTCAGTTCCTTGCCTCTCTGCCCAGATGGACAATGAGGGCGGCCAATCGCAGCTGTGCTTCAATTAGGTTAAAAGCCCAAACGGAGACGCACCCATCGTCGATGAGATCCATGACTTACAACCACTAGTGACCCTGAATAAATGAAGTCTGGGGCTTTGTAACGGAAAGCCTGGTTATCTGCTAATGCTCTGGCCCAGCCAGGGTAACCAGAAAGCGAGCGTGAAAAATCAGGCCGGGGCAGGGAGGAAATAGGTACCTATACAAGACAAAGCCCTGAATACTGTCCCTATAAAATCATGGTGTCCGACCAGTTCTGAAGCAACCGCCACTATAGCCAGCTAGCCACACTCAACTGGCTGAATAGCCACATGTGGCTAGTATGTTGGACACTACAGCTGTAAAATCAGGACCTCTGGTCATCCTAGGTCCAGCTACACCTCCTATGAAGAGCAGCTTAATGCTGTAATTTACATCCAGGGCACATAAAGAGTTTGACTCAATATGTATGTTCCCTCTAATCTTTTCCATCCATGTGCAGAATAATTATTGTGCGCGCCATTGCATATGCGGATGTGCACCACCAATAGAAACAAGCAAACAAACAAAAAACCTAGCTGTAGGCGCTCTGCTAATCAGCTGAGTGGCACTGGAATCTCTCGACTGGCCACACATGCGCCTACCTTATATCACTCAACACTGCCCTTCAAGTCTCTTTGGTTAGCACCTACCTGTATTTCCAGCTGCTGCACCACTTGCATTTGTACTCGGCACTGGGCTGTGCTTCGGTCATCAAGTGCGTGTTCTGTATTGAGGTGTCTAGGCAGAGAAAGACGGATTTTATATCGACAGTTCCTAGAACCCACCACAAAACTGCCTCCGGCCCAGGTCCACACCCGTCTACAGCCTGCAAACACCTCTTTTCTTTATGCAGTAACTGCACCCCAGTCTGATCGTTACATTACATGGAAGCCCCTGCCCTGATGACTTTGCAATTTAAAGAGATAAGAACAAAGCGCGGGAAGGGAAACTGAGGCACAGAGTGGGAATACAGTCAAAACAATCGCCACTCGGCCGCCCTTGGCAGAGAAGCCTTCTTACAAAGTTAAGGCCCTCGCTGGAATGCATATATGGCATCAAAATGGTCCAGGCGCGCTTTCACAGAACACAAGGGGCGACTCTTAATCATGAGCCTGCTACACCGAGATGCCAAGTGTCCCAGATGCAGTGCACCCTGCCAGCCAGGAACGCTGATTGCTCTACCAGACGGAGGTCCCAGGCATGAGCACAGACCGGCACATCAGAACAGGCAGAGAAATCCCTGCACGCCGCTATGTGACAGGGCAGAGCTGTTCCACTCCGTCCCGGGACGTTGGTTCCCCTGGGTGAGAGGCTGTTGGTGTTGAGGTCTACACTCCCCATTGAAGAGCTGCCTTTTCCCCTGGGGGAGGAAGACCTGGACGTGTGCGAATGGCTGCCAGAATGTCTGCCTCTGCCTCCGGCTACACAGAAATGCAGGGGCTCTGGCCCCCTTGCTGTAAGAGAGCTGCTCCGTGGGCGGGGCCGAAAACTCTTGAGAAATGGAGTCATTCCGTGTAGCTTTAGATCTAGATCCAGCCAGCCTCCCCTCCCGCCCTTCACTCCTCCCTCTCTCCCACGCCTCAGCTCTCTGGGTTCACCCCACCGTGCTGCCCACGTGGCTGTCGCTCTCGATTCATGCCTCCCTCTAGCCGAGGACTCGATCTACTCCTCCCCACCCATCTTCTCTCTCCTGCCCACCCCTTCTGGTCCCTACCGGTGCACCTGCATTTCCCTCAGCCTCATATACTACCTGGCTGTGTCTAGACTGGCAAGTTTTTCCGCAAAAGCAGCTGCTTTTCCGGAAAAAACTTGCCAGCTGTCTACACTGGCCGCTTGAATTTCTGCAAGAACACTGACGATCTAATGTAAGAAATCAGTGCTTCTTGCAGAAATACTATGCTGCTCCCGTTTGGGCAAAAGTCCTTTTGCGCAAAAGGGCCAGACATCTCAGATTTGTTTTGCGCAAAAAAGCCCCGATTGCAAAAATGGTGATCGGGGCTTTTTCGCGCAAAAGCGCGTCTAGATTGCTTTCGCCACTAGTGCCTAGCTAGCTGGAGCTGGACTAGGGAATCTTTACTCCTTGCATGGTGGGACTAAGACATGGGCACTTCTGCAAAGAATAAGCCGTCGGGAGTTTTGGCATTCTCTGCTGAAGAAGGAAAGTGTAAAATTGGAGGGTGTGTGTGTGTGCGCGTCTTATCTAGAAATGCTTTAATTCTTTCATCTTGGTGTCAGAAAGATTCCTTTTTCCTTCCTTTACCCAGTAGCGGATTCCCGCAAACTGCTCTGGCCAGGCTCCACCCCCTACTCCACCCCCTTCCCAAGCCCCGCCCCGCCCCGCTCCTCCCCCTTGCAATATGGCCTAAGGAGTTATGGGGGGCCTGGTGCAGCAGCAGCAGCAGGTTGCCTCCCTCCCGCCATCATGTGGGTCCTGGGAGTCAGGGTGGCCCAGCAGCCGGCTCCGCTCTGTTGCTCTGCTCTTCCGGCCCCTGCTCCTCTGTGGCGGTGGGAAGCGAAGTGCCTTGGGGCCAGAGTACTCTGCTTCCTGCTGCCATGGAGAAGCCGGGAGCAGCGGGCCAGGAAGGTGGCACAGAGGAGGCTGCCGGGCCGCTCCGGCTCCCATTGCCCGCGTGGTGAGTGCCCGCTGCTGTCACCCCCACCAGGCTCCCATAATCCCATAGGTCCCTCCTGTCCATAGGGCAGCTGGAGCAGCTGCTGGGGGCCCCCCAAAAGTGTGGGGCCTGGGGATGCAGCCCTGACTCACCTATGGACAGGATGGCTCTGGCTCTAGCATGAATAAGAAGCCCAATAACTTGGTTAATTCTTTGGCAGAGTTGGGTAAATATTGGCCTCTTGAATTCAGATACACTCAACATTCAAGCTGGTTGGAACCTTTCAAACTTAGAAACAGAGACAAACTTGTTTAACAAATATCGTTGCTAAACTTCTTCCCCCTGTTCCAAAACATTGGAGAAACCCAAGATTCAGACTGGTACGTCCCAGAGGGTGCCCTTCTCCGCATGGGTCAAACCAAAACCAGCGATGCAAACGCCGCTAAGCTTCTGGACTAGTTTCAGCGGTGGTGGCTGGGGCCCGTGCCTACTAGCAATCTGCTTGTGAGGGCGGTTGAGTATTAGACCCATTGTACAGATAGGGAAACTGAGATACGGAGCGGCAACATCTTGCCTAAAGTCAGGTAGGAAGCCAGAGGCAGAGAACGGAACAGTTACCCAGGAGTCCTGAGTCACCAAGCCTCTTGCTCTAACCACTAGGTGGCACCCCTCACCGGCTCCTTTTCCTTCCTTCCTTCGCTGCAGCAAGGCATCCCCTTGCAACAGCAAAATGCCCCCTGTCCTCACCTCCTGGTTTCTTCCTTGAAATAAAGTTTTTTTTCCCCTTCTTAACCCATCTCCTTCCACACATAGCAGTCACTTTTCCCTACCCCTGACTGAGCCTGCCCTGGTATTCACTGTAGCTGGCACCTGTTCCACCCTCTGGTACTCCCGCCTTCCCTTCCTCCGGACTAAACAAAGCAGGGAGGCAGGCACATGGCTGGTGAGATCAGCTGACACGCTGTTGGTAAAACAAAAGTCCTTCAGACACAAACAGACATGCACAGACACACACCAGAGTGCCCCTCGGCCCCAGCTCCCCTAACATTCCCTTTCGTGCAGAGGGGGAAGAAAAAAAAAAAAGAAAAGAAAAAAAAATCCGTCAGTTGCTTCTGATGTCTTTGCTAAAAATCCTGGCTACAAAGAGATCTAATTGCAAATGAACTAATTAAGTAAACCTCTGACGAAGCGTGAAAACAATTTGTTTGACCCTGACGCTAGCGGAGGGCTCTTAGACAGCGGAGTTAATCAGTCAGTGACAGAGCTCACAAGCGGTGTCAGCAGGCTGCCGTGCTGCCATCTGTTTCTTTCTCTTCTCTCGCTTGCTCTCTCTCTCTCTTTTTGCCCCCTTACAGAGGGTGAGCTGCTAACTTTTCCTGGTTGCCTTCTCTTGCCCCCTTGCCCATGTCCTGCAACGTCTCTGGGTCTCTTTCAGTCTCTTCCTCCCTCGCACGCTGTCCCCCATCCCTCTACCCTGGCCCCGGACGCCCAGACTTTTGGGACAAGGGGTAGAGACCAATTTGGCTGTCACATTTGAATCCAAAGTCATCCGAAGCATCTAAAGCAGACTACGTGGAAGAGTTTTCAACTCCAAGACCACAGGAGGGCCGTCACCCCCAACGTACAGATGGGAAACTCGGGCACAGAAAGACGAAGGCTTTGGAGTTTCCCAGAAGTGATAAGGATTTGGGGGGGCCCCATCTGAGACCCCTCAAAGTCACCTGACTTTTAGACAATGCAGAGCTGCCTGTCCTCTGGAAATCAAACCCTGTCAAGGCAGTAAGTTGGCTGCCACCGGAGGAAAAATCATAGCCAGAGACTTTAAGGCTACACCTGTCGCCTCTGAACTCGGCCGGACCCCAGACCGTTACAATTCAAGGCTTTTCTGACCTACCTCTACTGCCCCCCTGGATGTAGGTGCAAGGGCCACGCCCCACCCCCTGCCCAAAGCTGTATTGAAACACAGGGTGCTATGGACAGGCAGGGCCTACCTGGCCCCGGAGTGCAGGGCAACTTACAACCCACCATGCTGTTTGCACAAGCTGGAGGAATGGGAATGGAGAGAGTCAGGAACAAAACCACAGCCTAGAAAAAGACAGTGCGGGAGAGGGGACACTTACTTGACAAACTGTCCCAAATCCTCACAGAGGGTTTCACAACCAGGCCACTTGCATTCTCCGTGTCCGTAGAGAGGGTGGGAGCCGGGGTTCTCTTCGTGAGAAGAGCTGCTGAGAGAGCGAGCGAGACCGAGAGACAGTGAGACAGGCAAGAAGGAATCAACCATTACACATGACATGCTGGCTCCTGCCCATCCAAAGCTTCCAGACCAGGGGCGTCTCTGAGGTATCAATAAGCCTCCTAGCACCTTTCAGCCAAGACTCTGCCGTGCATCGTTCAAGCCTGAGGCGGCTGGGATGCAGGACTGCTGCTCTTTTTCCAGACAGATAAGCTAAGGGGCACAGAGGTTGGGCAAGTTGCTTATGTAGCAACAGAACAGCTCCCTCAATTCCTAGTCCACTGCCCCACTTCGCAATGACACACACTTTTTTTTTTTCCCCCTCCACAGACCTACGGGGTAAAATAAAAGGCCGGCCCAGCTCGGCTCTACCTGTCCCTCCTTGGCGTGAGCATGGCGCTCTGTCCATTGGGGAGAGAGTGGTGGGAAATGGGAGGCGAGACCTTGGCGGCCGAAAACGAGGTAGAGTTGGAAGTGTTGGTGGTGAGGTCCAGGCCCTCTTGCTTGATGCTGTCTTCTACGGGCTGGGTAGCGGTGACCTCTTTCCAGAGTTGCTGCAGGTCCGAGGGGCAGACAGCTACACACACAACGGGGTCAATGGAGAAAGGAGGAACATACACACACACACACGCACACACAAAGACAAGGGTGAAGTACAGACTGGAGAACCACCACTAACTAACAACCACCGTCGCTGGGAAGAGCCCTAGAATCTCACCAGCAAAAGAGCGGCTTTTAGTTGAATCAAGGTGGGCGAAGAACACCAGCCGGACAGCCCTGGAGATTCAAACGCTACCCACCACCGAGCGGAAGCAGCCCAGTGTGTCACCCCGTGTTCTGGCCCACCTGACGGATCCGCACACTTTCCACGGGCAAATGCAAACAGGCCCGGGGGTCATTTGGAGCTGGCCCGAGGCCAAAAGGATCCAAACCTGCAAGCATCCAAGTGAATCTGGGGGAAGGTGCGCCTGGCTCTGCCCTTCACCTAAATGCCTCCCCACACCATAGGAAAACGGAACAGTCGTTCGCCATGCATAACAGCTCTGCCTTCTGGGCATGCATCTCTCATTCCCAGCTTCAGCCTGAACCACTCATCGTGTAGAGGAACCTCTAACACTCAAGTCATTACATATCAGGAACTACGTATGCAAATTCAGGACCCTGTCCTGTTTCCACTGATATCAAAGGCAAAACTCCCATAGCCTCCTTCCCCAGCAGCAGGATTGGACCCTGAATTTGCAAAATTAACCTCAACAGCTCCCAAGGCCTTGTACTTCTACGAAGCACTGGTACGGCTCCTGTACAGCCCACCACTGTGCTGGAAAGAGACAGATGTAAACAGGCCTAAAGTGCATTGAAAAACACCCGGCTGCTACTAACTGCCTAACAGCTCAGAGGCTGAGTTTGTAGCTGCTTTGCGTGGGTAACGCCCACCCAGGCTGGCTGGAACGGAGGGATTGGGCTTGAAAGGACAGAACGAGAGCAGGGAGATTTGCCGCGCGCTTTACCTTGCGGAAGGGTCTGCAGGGGAACGGTGCCTTGTCCCGGCTGAAGGCTGACCAGCCCTTGTCGTTGGAGGTTTAACAAGTGCTGCTGCTGCAGCTGCTGCATCTGCAGGAGCTGCTGCTGGAACGCCAGCTGTTTATTCCCTAATGGCTGCTAGGAGACAAAAGGGGAAAAAAAAAAAAAATCAAAACACGATTTTTCGGCACGGCAGCTGAGGCCTGGCAGGGCCTCACAGCGCAGCACGGAGGCATCAGCCCCACGCCTGGTCAGCACAGACCTTTGTCCCCGGGGCCATGAACATTGCTCCTGGAATAGGGCAAGAAGGTAAGTGGCTAAGAGAGGAAAAAAAAAAAAAAAAAGAGGGAGGAGAGAGCGTGTGTTTGCTTGCTTAGAGCACCGAGAGCTCCATCTCCATCTGTTCGCTGTGTATTTCCAACGCCTGTGCACTGGGATCATGCAGAGGAATAAAAACCACTATAGCTGCTTTGCACTACTGGCCAGTGCCTGACAGAGGCTCTTCACAGGTCTTACACACATTACCCCCCTGAGCCTCCAGCAAAGAAGGCAAAGTTATCGGTAACCCTACGTTACAAACCTAGTAACCTGGGCTGTTTTCCAAGGCTAGAAAGAGGCCACGGTGGGTAAATAACACCCCTGTTGGACAGATAAATAATTACTTTTATCAAATAAATAGCTAAGCATCATAAGTGCCCCCATCAGATAAGGAAAAACAAGGCAGCTGTCAGGCAATTTGTACAGTTCCTGGTATGATCTAGCTATTCAAGAACTCCTCCTGAATGGTAAGAGCTAGGACCACCAAATCCAGTGAACGGCTTCCTCCTATCATAGTTTAAGGCCAGGGTTTGGTTGTGCCAGGAAAAGGGGCTGTGTCTGGAATAGGATTGCTCCTCCTAAAACCACACACAAGAGACACTCACCAGGCAGGTGAAAGGGGCTGGATGGAGATGCTCCCCATACCTCCACCCCAGTTTGAGACTGCCCCAGCCACGAGCCTTCCCCCTCCTCCCCCACACACATCACCACCATTCCTATGGGGACTATGGCTGTTCCCCTTCATCAGGGAGCGAGCGAGGGGAAAGTGCACAGTTTGCTGCATTCCTCACTCTGGCTGGGAAAAAGAGGGGGGCAAATAGACCAAGGGACATGCACCCTTCCCCCTCAATGCCCACTGGAGCTGCAGTGGCCACGGAGAGGTGCTTCTCACCTGGCCCCAAACTCCTGGGGTGAGAGGGAACTGGGGTTTTCCTCTCTTCCTGGGGCAGCCTGCATCCTGAAACCCTCCTTCCCCGCCCCACCCCAGAGCAGCGATTCAAACAAAGAAAAACAAAAATTAATTGTGGTAAGAACACAAGCAACACCGGGTAAAACTTCTAGTGAAAATATATAACAATTTGCAATCAAGGAAATTTTCACCTAATCTCCCTGTGGCTAACAGTTGGCAGCTCATGCCCTCTAACAAGACGGTTTGTATTCCTCGCTAAACAGATTTCTCCCCACTCCTCTTGGAGTATTGTAAATCTGGAGAGCCTTGCTGTTCATATAAGTGCATCTTGCTCAGCTCACTGGTCTCCAGGCTAACTTGTGGCAATGAGTTCCACAGATTCCATGAGGAATCTCATTCCCTTTGCTCAATTTGCCACTCAAATGTTTCTTCAAATGTTCCCGCGTTCTTGACCGATGAGACAAGGAAATGGAGTTTCCCGAGTTCCCTTCTGTATCTCATCCATTAATGAGATATTTTTTTATTGCAGCAGCACCTAAAAACCCCAGCCCTGGATCTCATGGTGCTAGGTGCTGTACAAACTAGGGATGTTAAGGAGCGTGTAATCCGTTAATTGTGTAGTCAACAAAAAAGTTGACTACACAATTCATCGATAAGGGTTAGCAGTGAAAACACTCAGTCCCGACTCACACCAGGTCCGGCATCAACCCTACTGAGGCTCTGCATTATTAGGGGGCTGGGGAGTTGGCACACAAGCAAGCTGGCTCAGTTCCAGCTCATGCCAGGTCCCAGCATTACCCCCTACAGCGGTTCTGCATTAAAAGGAACTCCGGCTCCCCAGTCCTCTATTAACGCAGAGGTTGATGCCAGGACCGGTAGATATACTGGAGGATTGGGTTGGGGTCCAGAGTGACCTAGACAAATTGGAGGATTGGGCCACAAGAAATCTGATGATGTTCAACAAGGGCAAGTGCAGAGTCCCAAGCACTGTTACAGGCTGGGGACCGACTGGCTAAACAGCAGTTCTGCAGAAAAGGACCTGGGGGTTACAGCGGATGAGAAGCTGGACATGAGTCAACAGGGTGCCCTTGTACTCAAGAAGGCGAACGCATATTAGGATGCATTAGTAGGAGCATTGTCAGCAGATCTAGGGAAGTGATTATTTCCCTTCATTGAGTACTGAAGATGCCACATCTAGAGTACTGCATCCAGTTTGGGGGCCCCTACTACAGAAAGGATGTGGACACCAGCAGGGGCAACCAAAATGATTAGGAGGCTGGTGACATGACCTATGAGGAGCAGCTGAGGGATTTGGCATGTAATTCGCCCCTAGGTCAGGGACCAGCTGTGTTAGGAAAAGCTATGTCCCTAGGCGAGTGGTGAAGGACTGAGATGGGTTCCCTAGGGAGGGGGTGAAATCTCCATCCCTAGAGGTTTTTAAAGCCCAGCTTGACAAAGCCCTGGCTGGGACGATGGAGTGGGGTTGACCCTCCTTTGAGCGGCCGGGGAGGTTGGACTAGATGACTAATGCCTTGAGGAAGAGGAGGGCGTTTAGATCTTTGGTTCTCAATTGTTGAGCCAGAGACAGACGAGACCCTGTTCCAGGGCAGGATGGCTCCCAAAGGAGATATCAGATTCCCCCAAGTCTCAGGGCTCCCTATACTTGGTGACAAAGGCATACACTACAGTGATCTCCCTTAGGAGAAAAAAAACCCTTCATCTTACAACTCCTGGGCGCCTGGGAGACAGCGCACACGAGGGTAGCCTGCGCGCTCCACGGCCAGGCCAGCAATGCTGGGGTAAGAGACTCCTAGCCAGGGGACCGTCACAGCATTTCAACGGGAAAATGGTGTGAGGGGAGCAGGTCCCTCAAGGCCCCGAAGGAGGGAGAAGTTGTGCTCAGAAGTTGCCAGGCCATCCTTTGTGCTAGGAAGGGTGGTACGGGGGTGTAACGCCCACACCCACAGGCCTGCAGGGTAGGGCAGGGAGTCCAGCCCTCCCCTTTGTTACCAACTGCAGCCAGAGTTTACTTTCTCCCTTCCCCGTGGGCCTTTCGGCAAGCACAGGTTCCTTCTTGTTACATCAGGCCACCTGAACACTGCCTCATTCACTCCACTTCCGGGCTGTAAAACAGAAGGAAATTGGAAGCGGATTAAGTCATTAGAATCCCCAGGGCACATCACGCTCACCTCATAACTCAATGGTGTTCTTTATCTTCGCCATCTACCTGCTCCAGAGTCCTAGGAAACCAGGCAGGGGTAGCAGCAGCTGCAGCACCACCTCCAAGGGGCCCGCATACGGGCAATAGCGCGGCAGCCGCAGAGATGCCCCAGGCAGAATCAACAGGGTGAGACCATTTCCCTGCAGTACCCATCCGCAGGGGAGCTCAAAGCACTTCCCATGCTACCGCCCCGCGCAAGGCACAGACAGGTTGCGCCCATTTTACAGACGGCTGCCCAGAGAAGGATGAGACACGGACGGGTCGCACCCATTTCAGACAGCTGCCCAGAGACGCACGAGGCACAGACGGGTCACGCCCATTTTACAGACAGCTGCCCAGAGAAGCACGAGGCACGGACAGGTCGCACCCATTCCACAGACAGCTGCCCAGAGAAGCAACCTGTCTGAGAGCGGAACCCAGGAGTCCTGCTGCCGGTCGTCTGCTCTGAAACCCAAGAGGCTTCACCAGACACCAGGACTTCACGGTGCCAGAGGCTGTGCAGACATGGGATAGACAGTGCCTGCCCCAACTCGCTTACAATCTGACAGACGAGACCAGGGGTGAGAGCAGAAGCAGAGGTGAAGTGACTTGCTCAAGGTCGCGTAATGGCAGAGGAAGGAAGAGATTCCGCAGCCCTTTCCACTAAATAACAGTGCCTTAGAACCAGGCCTGCTGATGGTGGGAGGGCAAAAGGGGCACACTTATTCAAAAAGAGCCTGGGACTGCCAGAGTCTGCCACTGCCGGACCTTATAGGCCCTTTAAATCACTGTTGGAGGGCTGTGCTGCAGGCAGCTCTGAAGGCTGGCTGAGGCTGGGGGAGAGAGGGGCATAGCACACACTGCACAGGCTGAGGGCTGGCTGCCCCCAGCTCTGCCCCTTCTGCCCAAGGCCCTGCCCACCACACCTTGCCCAGGGTCCCATGCAGGCTGTCCTGTCCCCGTCCCCTCCACCCCGATGGCTCTTCTTGTAGGGTTTCTAAAAGCCCAGCCTCCTGCCCTGCCCCAGGTGGGGTAGGTGCAAATACAGACAAATTCTGCAAACGACGGAGGAAGTCACCCCCTCCCCCCCATCCCACCCACCCCCTTTTTCTCCCTCCCACAGCAGCAGGGAGGGGACAATGCATTCTGCCAGGGGAAATAAAAGTTTCCTTCTAGTGCTGTCTGGCTGTGTGTGCCCTTCCCTCCCCCACCACAAGATGTGCGGCTGCCATCCTCTGTGGGTTTCTCTGGACACTTTCACTCTCTGAGGTCATCCGCGGCGCCCTCTGGAGAGAGCCAATGAAGTGGGAAGCTTATCTGCACACTGATAAAAATCTTCAACACAAAGAAAGTAATTCCTGCGCTGCACCCTGCCAGTCCCCAGCGCCCTTTGGGGTGCTCAGGTCTCTTGTGTTGTGGGGGGGTGGGAAGATGAAAGGGGAGGGCTAGCAGGGAACAATCCAGGATCCTGTGCCTCCCCCTTACTCCCCTCCCACACCGTGATCCCTGTGCTCTCCCCCAGCAATGGGGTCCGAGTTCCTTAACGCATTTTGTCTGCACTCTGTTTACATTAGACGCAGCTGAGTGGGTGCAGCTACCGGGGTAACAGGCGCCGTCACTTTGATTTATGAGCACATCAAGAGGAGTTTCGGCGTGACACTCTGGACTGACAGGAGCACTTCATTAATCTGACGCCTAGGTTACTTGCCA